ACGATCCCTGACAAGGTAAATATTTGTTGTCAGGTGCCAACAAGCAGGTTCGAGCTCACAGGGACCGTGTGAACAGCAGACATAGCACTGCCAGTCTTGCACCATCCTCGAGTCGTGGCTGTGTGAGCCCCTGCTGCAGCCACCAGGTCAGCCCTCCGAGGATCTTCCTTGTTTTGTTGACACTCCACTTTACCAAGGGCGATGCCCTTCTCCACAGACTGGTCTCTCCTGATAATTCGACCAGAGTATGGAAGACAGGCCCGCTCGTCCTCCCTGACCGGACTTCTTTTTCTTTTTTAATCACTTTATTGGGGGCTCATACAACTCTTATCACAGTCCATACTTCCATCCATTGTATGTCAAGCACATTTGTACATTTGTTGTCCTCATCATTCTCAAAACATTTGCTTTCTACTTGAGTCCTTGGTATCAGCGCCTCTATTTTCCCCTCCCAGCTCCCCTCTCCCTCATATATCCTTGATAATGTATCAATTATTATTTTGTCATATGTTATACTGTCCAATATCTCCCTTCACCCACTTTTCTGTTGACCATCCCCCAGGGAGGAGGTTATATGTAGATCCTTATAATCAGGTCCCCCTTTCTACCTCACCTTCCCTCCACCCTTCCGGTATCGCCACTCACACCACTGGTCCTGAAGGGATCATCCGCCCTGGATTCCCTGTGTTTCCAGTTACTATCTGTACCAGTGTACATCCTCTGGTCTAGCCCGATTTGTAAGGTAGAATTGGGATCATGATTGGGGGTGGGGTGGGGTGGGGTGGAGGAAGCATTTAAGAACTAGAGGAAAGTTATATGTTTCTTCGTTGCTACACTGCACCCTGCTGGTTCATCTCCTCCCCGCAACCCTTCTCTAAGGGGATGTCCAGGGTACAGATGGGCTTTGGGTCCCCAATCTGCACTCCCTGTCCTTCACAATGATACCTTTTTTGTTTTTGATGCCTGATACCTGATCCCTTCGACACCTCGTGATCACACAGGCTGGTGTGCTTCTTCCATGTGATTTGTTGCTTCTGAGCTAGATAGCCACTTGTTTACTTTCAAGCTTTTAAGACCCCAGATGCTATATCTTTTGACAGCTGGGCACCATCAGCTTTCTCCACCACCTTTGCTTATGCACACATTTGTCTTCAGTGACCGTATTGGGAAGGTGAGCACACAATGATATGATTTTTTGTTCTTTGATGCCTGATGCCTGATCTTCTTCCAAGACTAGTCCTTCAGGCAGCCCACTGTACTTTCAGTTGTCATAATTGCAACGTCCTAATTCACATTCTTCCTGTCCTTATACGTTGTCCAGCATTCGCATGCATATGATGCGCCCATTGAAAATACCTTGACTTGGGTCAAGGCTCACCGTTGTCCTCAAAGTGACTTCTTTGACATTGAAGGCTTGAAAGAGGTCATTGGCAGCCGAATTGCAATACATCATTTGATGTCTTCACTGCTACTTCCATGGTGTTGATTGTGGGTCCCAGTGAAGTGAAATCCCTAACAGCTTTTCAGTCTGTCCTCCGTTTATCATAATGTTGTGTGTTGGTCCAAAGATCAGTATTTTCACAGTCTCAGATGTTTGACATGATAAAAACGAAGAAAGCCAGGTGGAAACCTTGGACTGGAGGAAGTGCTCTGCTGAGGCAACTAGGCACCTGAGGACCAAGCCTCGGCCTGAATCAACTCACCTGCGCAGTCACTGGGGGCGGGAGGGGGGTTTCCTGTCCCCTCTGCTGTTCCGTCCCAAGAGGACAGGAGAGCTCCCTCCATCTTTGAGCAAGAACACAGGCCTGTGATTTGGAAAGGCATGCTGGCAGTACGTGGAAGGGAAGTGGGGGTTAGGGCTGGGGAGAATTCTGGAAAATGAGATGCCAGTTGGCATGTGGTGAGAGGCGGCCAGTGAGATGCTCCCTCCCATGCCGATTGCTTTGGGGAAGCAAGAATCCATGCTCCTTGACCGAGAAGAGCCCACGGGCAAGTGTGGGTGTTAGGTTTCTGGGGTGGTTTACCTTGGCTCTTGCTTCTCAAAGCTGGAAGAATTCACGCAGCAGAAGCACGTTTGCCAACCCAACTAATTTTTATGTGGGTAAGGGAAGTTTTACGTTTAACAGTTTCAGAAGGTCCACGCGATCTCTGGAAAGTGTGCAGGCTGTGTGAGGACCGAGCGAGAGTTCGTGACTGAAGACGGCCACTGCAGGGGTACACGAAACACCACGTGAAAAGAATGCTGGAACAGGAGCGCAAAACCAAGCGTGGGGAGTCCTGAGAGGGTGTGGGGGCGTGGGGGCGCCTCCAACCTGCGAGAGAGCACCCGAACAAGAGAGTGGCCTGCACTCAGTCTGCTCTTTATCGCCCCCTGTTCCTGCCGGCTGGGGAGGTGCCCTTGAGGGTATTGGCCGATCTTATTGGCTGGGTTTAAGGTGGGTGTGCTCAGGTTGGCTTCCATCTGGCCATAGGTGGCCCGGTATGCCCATGCCCAGCTCTGGATTTCCCCAAAGGTGGCTAAGTAGTATGTTGATTTCTTTCCAGCCCCTTCATTGTGGCGGGGCCAGTTGATTTTCATTTAGGATAAGCATTCTGGGAGAAGACCACCCACCGCACCCCTGATCTGGCGACCTGTCACAGGGAACTTGTGAGCACACGGCTGGCCTTACTGGGCAACCATCTTGGCAGCACGGGAACTCTGGGCCACGTGAAGTGACATATCACCTAGACCACCGGTGTAGGGGTGCAGAATAGGACCCTGTTATGCCAGGGTGGCTGTGAGGGCTCGGCGTGGTGGGAGCACCTTCCGTCAGGCACAATACCTGGCCCAAGCCCTGCAGAAAGGGGCTGCGGTCACCGTGAGCCCTGCAGTTTACCCCAAGGCCCCTCTTCCCATCCCTCCGCCTCACTTACATGGCGATGCAGACACGGAGTGGTGCGGAAACTGAGTATTTAATGATGAGCCTGAAACTCCGGACCAAGACTGTGTATCCAATTTCCTAAACCGTATTAGGCCCCCGTGTGGATTATTTTCAGTACTTCTGCTTCTCTATACACTTAGTAAGAAACATTAGAGTTTGTGGGCCTGCCTGTAGGCATAACAAAGGAAGGAACTGGGGAAATTATACTATTTTGTTGTAGCAATTTGTGGTCCCTCTTGGGTGGAAGTGGCACCTGGGGGCGGGGTAGCAAAAGAGGATTTCTGTCATTCTGATCTGTCCACCACACTGGGAACTGCCACGGGGTGCCTGGCCATAGTGGCTGTAGCCGTGGGCTCCGATGGACTGTGTGTGGCGCTGGTGTGGGCAGGGCTGGTGGTGGTGGTCCTGCGGCCCCCTGTAGCCCTAGATGCACACTTCTGGCTCTGGTTCTCTCTGCCGAGATCGGCTTCTCTTTTCCCTCTCTTGCTTCTGTCGGTTGCAGGGTGGGGGCGGCATGAAGGCCCTCTCCTGGCGTGCCTTCTTAGTCCCTCCCTGTTTGTAGAGTAGTGCTCCCGGAGAGCAGTGTGCTGAAGAACGCTGGGACGAGCGGTTTGCTTCGTAGATGATTGTCCTTGGCTAAAGCCCCACTCTTGCAGTTACCCTTTAGGGCAGCGGTTCTCAGCCTTCCTCATGCCGAGAGCCTTTCATACAGTTCCTCCTGTGGTGGTGACCCCACTCATCAAATTATTTCCATTGCTACTTCACAACTCATTTTGCTACTGTTGTGAATCGTCATGTAAATATCTGATATGCAGGATGTATTTCCATGGTTACAAATTGAACATAATTAAAGCACAGTGATGAATTACAAAACAATATGTGATTATATATTGTGACATATTTATGTGTTTTCCAATAGTCTTAGGCGACCCCTGTGAAAGGGTTGTTCGACCCCCAAAGGGGTCATGACCCACAGGTTGAGAGCCGCTGCTTTAGTGTGTGATCACAACTTGGGCTTTTGAAATGCTGTCGAAGGGTTACAGAACTCCTTACACGGCTGCCAGCATCACGGGTACGCAACGAAAAATGACGTCTCCTTTTCTTCAGTACATACTGCTGTCGTGCCTCCTGCTGGAGGCCGTGAGGAGCCTGAGGCCTGCGCCCTGCACCTCTATCCTGGGGCGCTCCAGCAGGAAAGACTGCCGCTTACTAGCAGGACTCGTGGTTCCTGTCATTTGCGTTTCTTGGGCCACTAAGGTATTGCACCTGACAAGTGTGGAAGAAGATGGAGATTCAAAGAAAGAACTCCTCCAAAAGACGAGTGGGCCACTCGAACCACAGCCTCCAAGACCCTGAGACCCAGAGAACTGGATGGTGCCCCGTTGTCCGTCTCCCCGCCCCCCC